AAATTATGTGACATTATTATAAATTAATTAAAAAGAAATTTGAAATTGTTTTATAAAATATTCAATTTTTATTTAATACATATTTAAAACATATTTTTTAATTACAATTTTTTGAAATACACCGAAATATTATTAATATTTTTATTATTTTATATTAATCTTATATTTTATATTATTCAAAGATATATTTTTTTTTATTTTTCATTAAAAAATAAGGAATATTAAGAAAAAAAAATATAAAAAAATGCATCTGTCATCTATGTTACCTGTTGTTTTTTTGAATCGTCTAGTCAACGGAATTACTTGATTCGAAAGTAGTACAATAGTTTACATTTTATAAATCTCCAAATTCCTATCTATCTAATGAATATATTTTCACGTAAATTTTTTTAAATAATTGCGTATCAAAAAAATATTATTATTAATCAATAAATTAGGAAAATTCTTGTATTATTAAAATTTTAATTAAATTAAAAGAGAATTAAAAGAGAATATTTGCAATAATTTTTTTCAATACATAAATGAAAAAAATAATTTATAATAAGATCACGTCATCTTAAAAAATATTTGTGACTCACCACGTCAAAGGATTGTCGATTTCAAGGATGTCACGCTGTTACCAGCGCTAGTAGCACTGGTTCTTTTTCAAAGAAAGTAGAGAATAAAATATAGAAGACCTTAAAGCATCAATGTTTTCAATGCAACAGTTAGATGAATACTAACAAGAATTACCAATCATGGTCCCAAGAAAACAAGTAGGCAAGCACAAGTTTCCCTTCCTTCTGACTGCTAAACTTCAGCTATATATGTCTATTACGTTTTTACCGTTATAAAACAAGCTATTACTATAAATTCTGATTGTTTATTTGCATAAATTTTTATTATCTTATTGCGAAATATATATTTAACGAATTAAATTAATTTACAATATTCCATGTTACAATCTCATTTAATATTTATTAAAATTAATTAATCAGTCATAAATTAATAAAATAAACCGAAAAATAAATAAGTGTTAGTGTTTAGTATTTTTTCAATTATATTTCTATATATATTATTAAATAAAATAATATATAATAAATGAATATATAATATTTTCAGAAATTTATTAAAATTAATTTACTATACTTTAATGAGATACTATCTTTTAATGAGAGGAATTTTTAGTTTTATAAAAATTACAAAATTATATTATTTTATTCTTTTTCTTTTTATTAATTCTTTAATTTTATTTAATTTATTTGTAATGTTAATATTTTTTTATTTTTTAATGTAAAAAATTAATTTTATATAAATAATTAATAAGTTTTTATAAAC